CTGGCCCTCCCCCTGCGGGAACACCCCCCCTTTATCCTGGCTGACCCCCTGCTTGCCCCTCTCCCCATGGGCTGGGGGTGGGAACCGCCCCCCTCCTTTCTGTCCCCTCCCCTGTCTGCCCCCCCATGCACTGGGGCGTGGGAACAGTCGCCCTCCCCCACCTACTCCGCCCCGGTGCATGGGGGGTGGGGACTTTCCCCACCTCGGGGGACACAGTCACTTAAAACCCCCAATCCCTGGTTGTGATTCCGCATTCTTCATTACCCCTGAGCGTGTTAAGAAATGGGCAGTTGCTTTTACTGATGGGGAAACTGAGGCAGGGCATGGGGGAAGTGATTTGTCCAAAGTCACCCATCAGGCCTTCAGCAGAACTGGTTCTAGAACTCAGGTCTCCTGAGCGTGATACCCGTGTGATGGGGGCTCTGTAAGCAGATACATGGAGGGAAGCTCTGGCCACCCTTTCTGTGTGTAGCAGAGGACACCTCCCACTCTCCCCCGCGTGGTAAAGGGCCAAGTGGAACCTCCGCCATCTGCAGAGAGCATGGCTCTGTGCATGGGGTGGGACGGTGCAGTGCTCAGAGTCCTTCAGCCTGACTTTCAGAAGTGCTGTCTCAACCCAGGCTTCCAAACTCAGGCCCGGTCTGCGCGTCAGTGTTGTCGGCATAGCTGTACCAGTCGGGCTGTGGTGGGTTTGCTTTGGTTTGCACGCCGGCAGAGGCCTTTTGCCAGTATTGCTTGTTTCATTGGAGGACCCACTATAAGCGATAGCTACAGAGGACTCTCGCTGGGGTGAGCTGACTGCACTGGATATGTCGGAAAGTGTTGGCCTTACGCTTTTTGAGTCACCCCCCTCCCCCGGCAATTACGGATCATGGTATCTGATACAGCAACTGGTGCGCAATGAAAGATTCACTTATCTACTTTCAGAGCTGTTGTGAGAGCTGAGTAAATAGTGTTTGTGAAGTGGTCTACAAGGGCACATGGTGTTAAGACTAATCAGGGGAAGAGATGGAAATAGAATTGACGATGTACTTAGGAAGTCAGCCCAGGTTTGTCCTCTGAGCTTCATAGCATGCACACATGGCCCTGCTGTCATTCCTAGCTCTCTGAAATTGGCACGTGCTCAGAACACCGCGAAATATCCGTACGCTATAAATACCTGAAAAACAGCACTTGAGAACGAAATAGTCCTTGCTGAAGCAGCTGTCTGTAGAGACTACTAGTATCTAGGAGGGCTGGACTGACTATTAGAATAAATGTGGCTTTACTAAATCTGAATTGTTTAGGAATTATGTCAAGTGAAAAAAAATTACATCTTGCACCTTATATCTCCTGAAAAATTCTGCCTTCCTGTAAATTGATTCCTGTGAAATTTCCAGCAGGGTTAGATAGATTTAGCAAAAAGTTAGTCAGCATGTAGTTTGTGGTGGAAGTATTGCTTCAGTCTTACTCCCAGAGAGGCTAGAATTTCTCTCGAAATTGCATGCTCCCAGGACACTGGAAAATGGCCAGTGTGTCCTGTTACAGCTGCTCAGCCCTGAACTGTCTGACCTGTGTTTCACTACTAGCCTTTGCTCTCTCCCCGCTGCTTCTTCATAGGTGATTGGTTGCCACAGCCAGTCATATAATCATTGTTTAATAGGTAACAAAATGAAGTGGGTCAGTACGGTGACTCGGCAAGTCTCTTAAAAAAGGAAGCCAATAACAACATCGCCGCTAGTGGCGCCTTGTCACTTTCTGTAACGATACTTAGCTAATTACCAGGGAGTTCTTTGTGAAGAAAAGTAGATTTAAAAGCAACCCTAACAACTGAAATGTAGCCTCTCTTCAAACTCAATTGTCAAAAACGAGGCAATTAGCTATTGGAAGTCTGTGGGAGAACTGTCGGGATCTGTACCAGTTGCTGAGCCTGCTGTGTTTCTTACCAGAAGGGGGGAGGGAGGGTTCATTGCTTGGAATGAGTGAGTCAGTCCTTCCCAGTGTATTTCTTTCAAGTCAGTGACTTGTCTGTTGAGACCAGTTCTTTCAAATACAGCACAGGCTGTGCCCACCTGTGGAAGAGACAGTTGCAGCCAGAATCCGGTTTTGCACTCTGACAGATTGCACCTAGATGGCCAGCTGGAGACCTCTGATGGTTCCAAGTATCAGAGGGGTCGCCGTGTTAGTCTGGATCTGCAAAAGCAACGAGGAGTCTTGTGGCACCTTAGAGACTAACGGATGTATTGGAGCACAAGCTTTCGTGGGCAAAGCCCCACTTCGTGCCCACAAACACTTATGCTCCAGTACAGCTGTTAGTCTCTAAGGTGCACAGGACTCCTTGTCTCCGATGGTTCAGTGCTTCAGTAGACTCCCGTTTGCTGTGGTTCAGCTGCTAGCCTGACACTGCTGTTACTGTGATTGGTAAAGGGTTAGGAGATGCCTGCGCTGTAGCAGCATCCCGTTTGTGACTAGTAGAGCTCACAGGCACCCAGGTGTGTGCTCCGGAGTCCTGGCCAAATTCCAGCCTGAGTAATTCTGTTCCATCTCCTTAAATTCTCCCTGTCGGTTTCATTTTGGAGCAGGATTCTTCTTCTCTGCAGGACAGTTGCTAAGGAGAGGTGTTGCCACAGGCTGTCAGACAGCTGTCGCCCTCACTCCAGGAGCGGCTGTGTCTTTGCTGGGTGTAGGGTTTCTCTGCGCCGTCTGCAAGTGAACGAGGCTCTAGGGTACATCTCTGCTGGCGTGGGTATCTAATTACTTTCACTTGATGCCAAGCTCTCTCAGCACGCTGGCTAGGAATCCCATGGGCCAACCTGCAGCTATTTCATTAGGGCAGAGGGGTCTTGTTGCTGTGACGGGCTGAAATCGCTCTACTGCCGGGCTTGGAAAACCGAGTTTCCTTCCTTCAGTGGGCACGGGGGCTCTGTTTTCCCTCCTCTCCTTCAGTCGGCTGCAGCGCTGCCATGGGAAACACCACCAGCGACCGCTTGTCTGGGGAGCGCCATGGCTCCAAATCGCACCGCTCTGATGGGGCCAGCAGCACCCACTCCAGCAAGGAGCACCCCCACAAGATCATGGTGGGCAGCACTGACGACCCCAATGTTTTCAGCACTCTGGACTCCAAGGTATGGGCTGGCCCCTCTGTCCCATTCCCCATCCCGGCAGGGTCGTGACCAACGATTCAGGCCACTGTGTTGGTGGCTCTGCTGAGCTCGTGTTTTAGCCGATCGGAGTCAGTGGGTTTTGTTGGCAATGCCTGGCTACCCTGCGGTGCATGTGGGTTGCCCCACTACAGTCGGTGCACGGGCACGACGGTGCACATAGAGCACCCCGATCAAAGCCAAAGGGCAGCGGGAGAAGGGGCCCGGTTAGAAGAAGGTCCAGAGAACGGAGAGGGGGAGGGGAGTGGCGCAAAGGCTGTGTCACTTACTTGGACGGAGAAACCAGGGATTGACTCCAGCTCGCCCGCGGCTGAGGAATGTTCTCTCCGCTCCGCAATAACAATGCAATGCAGCTGAAGCTCCCCAGCTGAGACTCGGGGGGGACCGGCAGCCCTGATCCTCGCTGGGTCTGCGCCATGGCGAGGCCGTGAGCTGGCTCGTTTCCTTCGTGCAGCTTGCCGGCGAGAAGGAGTTTATGTCGTGGCAGCATGACCTGGAAGAGTCGGTCAAGCCTTCGCAGCAGGCTCGTCCCACTGTCATCCGCTGGGCTGACGGAGGCAAGGAGGTCTTCATCTCTGGGTCCTTCAACAACTGGAGTGCCAAGATCCCACTCATCAAAAGGTATGGCCTTGCGCCGGCAGCCTCTGCACAAGCCACCGTGACGCGAGAGAGACACGCTGGTTCTGGGCTGACGGAGGCAAGGAGGTCTTCATCTCTGGGTCCTTCAACAACTGGAGTGCCAAGATCCCACTCATCAAAAGGTATGGCCTTGCGCCGGCAGCCTCTGCACAAGCCACCGTGACGCGTGAGAGACACGCTGGTTACGTCACTTATGCAACCAGCCACTCTCCTAGACTTCTCCCTGGCCTTGCGGCCTTTGCGCCTTAGCTGCAGCACAGACCGGGACATGGTCGTGGCTTTAGCAGCCTGTGTCGCTTGGAAAGCCAGCAGCGTTGCAAGTGAAATGAAGATGGTTATAACGTTTGCCGTGGCAAAACCCGACCTTTGAGAGACACGCTGGTTACGTCACTTATGCAACCAGCCACTCTCCTAGACTTCTCCCTGGCCTTGCGGCCTTTGCGCCTTAGCTGCAGCACAGACCGGGACATGGTCGTGGCTTTAGCAGCCTGTGTCGCTTGGAAAGCCAGCAGCGTTGCAAGTGAAATGAAGATGGTTATAACGTTTGCCGTGGCAAAACCCGACCTTCAAGAAATTCATCAGTTCAAGGTCTTGGGCTGGGTAACAAAACCACGGGAACTTCCCTAGTTCCGTGCAGCACTAGTCTGGCCTGGTGATTTTGGTATTAACACGTCCGACCTGTCGGGGTGGGGAAGCACTGGAATAAATTGCCCCGGGGGGTTGTGGAGTCTCCATCGCTGGAGATGTTTCAGAGCACCTGCCAGGGGTGACCTAGACGGTGCTGGGTCCGGCCATGAGGACAGGGACTGGACTTGATGCCTCACGAGGTCCCTTGCAGGTCTAGTGTGCTAGGATTCTATGGCTCCTTCCCGGCGTATTTGCCAGTGGAGTGATGGAATTGCTTGCACCAGTCCCATCAAACCAGTGTCAGGCACCACTTGGCAATGTTTGAGAAGCTGCTGAGTTATCCAGGCTGTGCCACACGTGTCCTCACGCCGGGCCTGCGCTTGCCTTGGCTCAGGTTGCGGGTGAGTGTCCGGGGCAGCCGGGGTGGGACTGGTCTGTGCGGGAGGGTCTCTTGCCACTGCAGGAATCCTGGCTGGGCTCCGGCGCCAGAGCCATGGTGCTGGGGCTGTGTGGCGTGACTCGGTGGCAGAGCCGTCTCCGTGCTGTTTCTGTAACTGCTCTGTCCTGCTCCTCTCTCCGGCCAGCCACAACGACTTTGTCGCTATTCTGGACCTGCCCGAGGGCGAGCACCAGTACAAGTTTTTTGTGGATGGCCAGTGGGTTCACGACCCTTCCGAGGTAACCCGCCACGCTGCGTGGCTCCCCAGCACTCCTCTCGGCAGGGCCCCGCCAGCCCCCTGCTCTGCCTCCACTCTGCCCCTTCCCTGGAGACTAGGGAGGCCTGGGGCTAGTAGCAGGGGCCGGGCCCACCCCGGCACTCGCTGGCGGGAAATGGAGTGACCCAGCCCTCTCCGGTCCCCCCGCTGCACTGCTCCCTTTCCGACCGCGGCCAGCGAGTGCAGGGGCGGGCCCAACCCTGCTGCCTGCACCAGGTGCCCTGGGTCTGCCGCTCAGCCTCGTCCGGCGTCAGCGCCCCCTGCGCTAGGTCGGTTCAACGTCTCCCTGCTTGGCGAGGGCTGGCCAGCGCCCCCTGCTCCCCGCCGTGCTCGGTGCAGCACTCTGCGCTGGGAGCATGCCGGGGCTGTTTGTGTGCTCCGGGCTAATGGCATATCCCCAGGGCCGTGGCCGCGCCCATCCACTGGCGCTCCAGCTGATTCCTCCCCAGGGCCGTGGCCGCGCCCATCCACTGGCGCTCCAGCTGATTCCTCCCCAGGGCCGTGGCCGCGCCCATCCACTGGCGCTCCAGCTGATTCCTCCCCAGGGCCGTGGCCGCGCCCATCCACTGGCGCTCCAGCTGATTCCTCCCCAGGGCCGTGGCCGCGCCCATCCACTGGCGCTCCAGCTGATTCCTCCCCAGGGCCGTGGCCGCGCCCATCCACTGGCGCTCCAGCTGATTCCTCCCCAGGGCCGTGGCCGCGCCCATCCACTGGCGCTCCAGCTGATTCCTCCCCAGGGCCGTGGCCGCGCCCATCCACTGGCGCTCCAGCTGATTCCTCCCCAGGGCCGTGGCCGCGCCCATCCACTGGCGCTCCAGCTGATTCCTCCCCAGGGCCGTGGCCGCGCCCATCCACTGGCGCTCCAGCTGATTCCTCCCCACGGCCGTGGCCGCGCTCACCCACTGGCGCTCCAGCTGATTCCTCCCCACGGCCGTGGCCGCGCTCACCCACTGGCGCTCCAGCTGATTCCTCCCCAGGGCCGTGGCCGCGCTCACCCACTGGCGCTCCAGCTGATTCCTCCCCAGGGCCGTGGCCGCGCTCACCCACTGGCGCTCCAGCTGATTCCTCCCCAGGGCCGTGGCCGCGCTCACCCACTGGCGCTCCAGCTGATTCCTCCCCAGGGCCGTGGCCGCGCTCACCCACTGGCGCTCCAGCTGATTCCTCCCCAGGGCCGTGGCCGCGCTCACCCACTGGCGCTCCAGCCGATTCCTCCCCACGGCTGTGCCCAGCCGCTGGCATGCCAGCCAATGCCTTGCCTTGGCCGTGCCCTAGCACTGCCTGGGCAGAGGGAATGCCGTGGGGGCATTCTGGGATAGGAAATAGAATACCAGTTCTATCCACGTATGCTGCCAGGGCCTGTGTGCACCCAAACAGACCACGTAGCCCATCCTAGAACACCCCCAGTAACCCGCAGCCCTGTAAAAGGGGGGGTGAGGGCCAGCAGTGCCCCTAGTATTAATAAAGCCGAGGGCAGGGGCCGAGCTGCGCTTGCCCAGGAAGGCGCAGGGTGGGGCGTGAGGAGGGGGCATGCCTGTGTTCAGACCAGTCTTCAGCGGAGGGTTTCCCGAGCCTTAGGCGGCTCCCTGGCGTAGCTGCTTGACCTGCGCCCCTTGGCTGGCACGCGGCTGGGTAGTGTGGGTGGCTGCAGCGGGGGAGCTAAGGGGTGCATGGGTCGGGGCGGGGGAAGCGCGTGACTGAGCGTGCCGAGGGCGTGTCAGTGGATCATTGGCTTCTCTCTCTCCAGCCTGTGGTCACCAGCCAGATGGGCACCATCAACAACCTGATTCACGTCAAGAAGTCGGACTTCGAGGTGTTTGATGCGCTAAAGGTGGATTCTCTGGAGAGCTCAGAGACGTCCTGTCGAGGTGCGTTTTGTGTGGCACGTCCCCTGCTCTCGAGAGCGGCCAGGCTGGGTCAGACCTAAGGTCCATCTAGCCCAGTGCCCTGTCTGCCCACAGTGGCCAGTGCCAGGTGTCCCAGAGGGAGTGAATCAAACAGGTAGTGATCAAGCCATCTCTCTCCTGCCATCCATCTCCACCCTCTGACACACAGAGGCTAGAGACACCATTCCTTGCCCATACTGGCTAATAGCCATTGATGGACCTAACCTCTGTGAATCTATCTAGTTCTCTTTTAAATCCTCTTATTTGTTTTTAAACCTGCTGCCCATTAATTTCATTTGGTGGCTCCTCGTTCTTAGATTATGGGAACAAGTCAAGAACTTTTCCTTATTCACTTTCTCCAGCCACTCATGATTTATAGACCTCTATCCTGTCCCCCCTTAGTCGCCTCTTTTCCAAGCGGAAAAGTCCCCGTCTCTTTAACCTCTCCTCATCTGGGACCCCTTCCAAACCGCTCAGCATTTTAGTTGCCCTTCTCTGAACCTTTTCCAATGCCAAGAGATCTGTTTTGAGGCTCTGTGTGACTTGCTCCCAGTGGTGCATTTCTGCGCCCCTCCAGACTCTGCATTTGCCCCTCTGAGCAGCTGCTCTTAGTGCTCCCGCGTTGGACCGTGGCGAGTCGCTATCTGCCCTTTTGGTTACAAGCTGCCAAGCTGCCTTCCAGTTGTGTGTGACACTCCCCTGGGGCTCCTCGTTCCCGGCGAGAGGGGAATTCTCTCGTTCCTGCCGAGGGATGCTCCTTCCTGAGAGCTGGGCCCTTCGACTTCCGGCGGGATTGAAGCTGCTGCTAAGGGGTCCCCCGGTGGCGATGCCCATTTTGCCCCGTGCTCTGCTGCTCCAGTTTGGCGCATGCTTGGGGGTGGCTGCTGGCGGTCCTGGTTGCTGCGGAGAGGAGCAGGGGTGGGCTGCTGGCTTCCTGGATGGGTGACCAGAGAGGGGGCTGTAATAAGCCCATAGCAATAGATATTCCAGGCATATTGGACACTTGCACATCTCACCGCCTCCTGGAGCCAGAAGCTCCTGTGTGCACCAGCTGGCTGGGACAATAATCCCTGAGACTCACCTGTCGAAACCCTGCGGCTTCCTTCTGCTCCCACTGCAGCAAAGATCTGGGTCCCTTCTCCAGCCCACCCTGGAGCGCTGGCTCTGGTCAGGCACGCGCCGGAGTCCTGCACAGCGCGCCATGCGGGCCATGCCCAGTGCGGCTGCGTGTGCATCTCCCGCAGCGAGCCTCTGACCACCCCGTGGTCTGGCACCCGGGTGCATCCCCCTTGGAAGCTGCAGCCCAGGCTGTGAAGCCGAGAGTGTCTGTGGCATACGTAGGCCCTGGGCCGGCCCAGGGTTCTTTGTGCGAGAAGGAGCCTGCTGGCTGCCCCTAGTCCGCCCCGGGCCCTAGGGAATGGTGCTGGAGCTTTGGGCAGACTCCTTTAACTCGCCTTGCTGTGTTGCGTAGACCTGTCTAGCTCCCCGCCAGGACTCTATGGCCAGGAGATGTACGTGTACCGCCCCGAGGAGCGCTTCAAATCCCCGCCCATCCTTCCTCCGCACCTCCTCCAAGTCATCCTCAACAAGGACACCAACATCTCGGTGAGTCCAGCCGCCCCTCTGGCTGGGAGCAAGCGGGGAGTTGGGCTGAGTGCAGAGGCTGTCCGAAGCAGGAAGGGGGCCGGGGTCCCCCTAGGGTGTTGTAGGGCACCGCGGGTCAGTGCTCCACCTGGGGCCAGACAGGGTCTCCGTGTGCGTAGAACCATCGCGCACTAGACTGGCAGGAGCCTCGGGAGGCCTCAAGTCCAGTCCCCTGCCCAGGGCCGGACCAAGCCCTGGCTCCTTGCTCTGGAGAGCGGAACTCGAACCCCGAGTCCAGTCGAACGCCTGGGCCACGTGCCCCGTAATGAGCGGGGGTGGCAGCTCCCGGCCCCTGGGCCTGTGCGACCCAGCTCTGCTGCCGGAGCCCAACCACGTCATGCTCAACCACCTCTACGCCCTCTCCATTAAGGTGCGTCCCGCCTGCTGGGGGTGTTGGGACGCGTCTGGAAGGCCCCAGCGCCCGAGCGCGCTGCGGAGACGCCGGCACAGAGCTGGGCTTCCGGCCGGGGCAGGCCACCCAGGCCCCGCTCCATGGCTTGGGGCCTGCTAGCGCCCTGTGGGGTCCGTGTGGCAGATGGGTGGATGAGCCCCCTGGGGGGCTGCGGTGGCAGGGGGGCTCCCTGAGCTGCTGCCTTGTCCCCCACTGGGCTCTGGGGAGATGGGTGGGAGCCCCCTGGGGGGCTGCGGTGGCAGGGGGGCTCCCTGAGATGCTGCCTTGTCCCCCACTGGGCTCTGGG